ATTAAATCCAGATTCACTTGGAAGATTCACATTGCGATGTTTAATGAAAGTTTCATTTGAGTTTTAAGGATCACTTGATATTCCAACACCTTCTTTGGTGATTGAAAAAAGGAATGTGACAAACACATTGGCACTGTGCAAACGCAAGGTTTCTTTTTGCATATGTTCACTTTTGGACTTTTGGAAGATGTTCATGTGCGTTAATTTTCAGCACTGCTTCCAGCACATGGTTCTTTCCAATGTCACATGACAATGCCGCAATGTGTGTCGCATTTCGTCACTATGAACCTTTCAAATGTCTACAAGGTTCAATGCCTGGCTTGAAGCCAGCCTTTGAACCTGAAAGTTTTTTGTCCCCTCCACCAGCTCGACTGACTTCTAGGTTTTTGCCTCAGAGCCCTTTGTCTGCAGCCATGGCAAAGGATGATCCATTTGGGAAGACAATCATTCAAGATTCACTTTGACATTAGACTCACCTTCTATCTACACAGGCTCACTTTGGCATGGGCTTCAGTTTTCCTTCTGTAGACTAGAAGAATCATTTTCAGAACAGAGAGTAGTAGCCAAACAATTGTACAAGAAAAAAATGTTGTTACATTTTTTGCTTGACATTTGTTTTGCCAAAACTTTTTATGTGCTTACTAGGTGTACTTTTCAGGTTGTTCCATTAAACAAACTAATAGTCAGAAAGAGCTATAAACCTATTAGTCAAAACACGTTTAAACTATTTAGTCTGTTTTCTTACCAAATAGTCTATACAACCTAATAGTTAGAAATCTGGCTAACCGAAGCTATTGGGTACAAAAGGGTTTGAAGCGCTGAGAGGCCAAATGGCTGCAAACTGCTGGCTGTACTGTCCATTATGTCAATCTTGGGGCATGCCACATGCTACCACTACTGTTGTGCTTCTTTCAAGCTAAACGAAAAACGCCCGATCTTTGGTGGCTTGCAAATGTGCCAGAGCGAAACCAACTGGAAAAGATCGACGGTCTATGGGGTTCTGGCAATGTTGGAGCAGGCGAGAATACCGCCGTAGTATCAAAACTCCCCCAAGTGGAGATCCAGGTCCTGGATGCACACTCAAGGTGGACTGCCATTGTCGGGACGAAGACATAGTGAACGACACAAGTCCTGACAAAGGTGACGTGTCCGTCTACCTGGATTGTTTCTGAACTTCACCAGCGCTCCAAGCCAAAACTGCTGCACCTATACATACATGCCTGGAAAATGCTTGAAATGACTCTTGGCAGCCTTGGAAAACGGAGTTGTACATAACAGGTTCCGGCGGGTGGACACGATTTGCATGACAGTCCTTATACAATCCAGTCGGTGAACAAAGCACGTGGAGGAACTGCGCAGACAGGCACGCACTGTGACTGCCATGGCTTGAGCACACCAACTCCTGCATGAGTAGTCAGATAATTGAGTGGGGGTCACTCACATCATGTGCAGTCTGGTGTGTTTGCGATCACATACGTGGAGGCCAAGGATGGCAAAGGATTGCAAAAGATATGAAAAGTATGCAGTTTGTGCATGCCAACGATTCTTGGACATGCTGTGTCATTCCTTGATGGGTCTTGAACCACCAATCAAGAAATCAAGAATCGGGCCGGTTGGGTAGGGCTCAAAGCAACCCTATCCTTAAGAATCATGGCATCGTAACTGCGAAGGTGCCATAGCGCGCGCTATGTGTGAAGCACCTTTGCCAATCTTGGTGGCAAAATAGTTTCTCATACACCTACACCAGGCAAGTTCCAGCACTGCCGGCGGGTGGAACTTACCATAAAGAACTACCAGACGTCCGATACCCTTCTGCGGCAAATCTCTACTTCATCAAAGCGATTGAAAACAAATCTGTTCGCAATCTCTACTTTTTGACTCTTTTCTTCAGAAGTTATATATATACTTTCCAGCACCTTGTTCTAGCAAATTTGTTCTAACTTGTCTGTACGAAGTCCTTCGTCTCTAGAATTCCCTGCTGGTCAATTCTTTCCTATAAAGCTCTACTTTCCAATACATTTCTCTAGAGATCTCCGCCGCCAGTCGGCTCCATTTATATACTGTAGAAATCTCTATCTTGCATCCCTGGCACTTCGTTTCGCAACCTCCAATTACAATCCCCTGTGGAGCTGCGACACCAAAATGCAGCGGCATGTACCGCGCAGCTGCCTTTCAGTCCCACCAAGACCTGCGATCCCAAAACCCCTGCACATGTGACCAGCCACGCCGTCGCCCGTGAGACATTTGTCCTTCCTATTCTTGCGCGCTCATTAACGCACGTGCCCGAGCATGCGCAACCAGCGCATCTCTCTCTAACTCCGAACAATCTCATCAAGAATCAAGATGAAGGACAAAAAGGTTCCATGGAAGCGGAGACCTGTGAACGGGAAAGCGCTTAAGCTAGACTGCAGCTAGACTGAATGCATGCTCCCCCTTCTACAAAGCCGCCGACAACGAGGGTCAGGGCCCTTTTGGGGGCCCTCGTATTTAACACAAGGAACTCAGCGAGCAAGATGCCCGGGTGTTGCCTTGCTGTGCTTGTTGTGGGTAGCAGCACCCATGGCCATGCCAAGGTTGCATTCGCAGGGCGCAGCTGGTGGGGCATGTTGTTCTTGGCCTTCTTTGTTTGAAGCGGAAAAGGGACGATCACCTACACCACCAACTTTGTACTGAGAAGTGGATATCAGGTGATATTACTAGTGGCCTCCAACCTACTAGCGATGGCCTCCAACCTGCTTAGCAATGGCCTCCAACCTAATAGTAATGGCCTCCAACCTACTAGCAATGGCCTCCAACCAAATTACAACTTAGGGCGAGGAGTTCTTCACCCACCCTCCACCCTATATAGGACAGCAACTCTTTTTGCCTTTGGGTAGCTGTTCGTCCTTTCTCACCCATTGCCCATCTTCTACAGGTCAATGGATTGCGCCAACTTCCAACCTCCCTTCAACCTCTTAGGGCTGGGGGGGTGGGACAAAAGGAGTTCAAGTACAGGAGGTGGGACTTGAGCCAAAATGGCCCACATCCCACCTCCACCCTATACCTCTTCTAACCTGTATGGTGTGTGAACACACTCATACAAGTTAGGGCGAGGAGTTCTTCACCCACCCTCCACCCTATACCTGGATCCTCCTTTGGGCGGAAAAAAGTGCCGGACCTCAATCCGGAAAAATTTTCCGCCGGATTCCGAAAAAAACGCCGGAGACCTGAAAAAACATCCGGATCCAAGATTCTGAAAAACAGATGATAAAAGGTTGGATCATACACAAGGAAACTGCCTTTGCGCTGCGAGTAGTTTTTCTGGAGCACACTCGAACCTTCCCGTTCCCATTGCCCTCGCCCATCTTCCGAATGGCCTAAGAGCAAAACCATCACACAATATAAGCAACTTGTGCCCAAGCAAAGACTTCCAAGAAAAAACCAAGGAGTATGTGGCAAGGAACCCCTCTTTCTCTGCAACCGTGTCTCTAAAGTGTTTTTTTTTACAAAGTGGGCTGCTCTCCATGATTCTTATGCTTCTTAATGTTTCATTAAAGCTTGCCTCAGGACGGCCCCCCAATAAAGTAGTAGCAGAACTGAACTCATGGTTCCTGTCAAAACTCTTCTGTGAAAAACTGTTCACAATCAAAGCCTGCAGAAGACTCAGTCCAAAAAAATGCCGGAGTTACGGGAAATTACGCCGGAGTTACGGGAAATTACGCCGGAATTACGGGAAATTACGCCGGAGTTACGACGTGCCATTTTTTGACAACTCTCTGCAAAACATTGAGATTCTGAACAACACATGTTCCACAGCCCAAAACTTGTCCGGCAGGCTCTGCAAACCTGCGCAGCTAGAACTATATCCCAGCGCCCCGACATCCTGAAACAATGGGAGTACATTAGAGCCTATGCTCTTTCAGCTTAGGTACACCCACTTGGGTCTTTCAACAGGTGCATCGCACTGTACCGGCTTCATCCGATTTCATTTAGAAGATCACCTAAACGGATCTGATTGATCCAGTGTGAACCATGCTGAAACCGGTGGAATGAGAAAACAGCGGAACAGGCAAACGAGCACACTTTGCAAACAAAATCATTGCATGCATCAGTAGTGGGTTTACCTTCAAAGAAATGCAAACCACAAAGAATGCAAAGCCTTGAGAATCCACATAAAGTGACTTGGAAAAAGCGCCGGACCAAATCCAGAAAAACGCCGGAGTTGGAAGTCCGGCGCCGGACCCTGTAAAAGTGCCGGACTGAAGATCTAGGTATAGGACAGCAACTCTTTTTGCCTTTGGGTAGCTGCTCGTCCTGTCTCACCCATTGCCCATCTTCTACAGGTCAATGGATTGCGCCAACTTCCAACCTCCTCTGACTTTGTCGCGCCCTGCTTCCAAGTCTCTGCACTTCATGCATTCTTTTGCTTTGCCCGTCTTGTACTTGGTGAGCTCCACTCTCACGTGGTACCGGGCGAATGGCCAGCCGCAGGTCGTCTTCCACTTGTCCAGCGGAATACCCCACCCCGCGTTGGCCACTGTGTGCCTGACCTTGCCTTTCGCTGAGGTAGACACTGCAAAGAGCTGGGACTTGTCAATGGGCGGTTCTAGGGGCATGTGGTTCGCGATATTCTCCGGCTCGGGCCGTACCTCGTGAGGCTGTTCAGATCTCTTTCTCTTCTTCTCCTGTTTCACCTCATCGATGTTCGCCTGGACGGGCAGTACCTCCTTCGATACTGCTGTTGCTCTGTCTGTTGCTCGGGCTCTGTTCAAGGGCATCTCTTCCAGGGCGTCCTCTATGTATCTTAACACTGCTGACGACTTCCACCTGCCCAGGAACGAGATGTCATAGATTCCCAGTCCCTTCCTCGTGTACATCATAGCCCCCGATCTCCTGGCCGAGAGCCCTGACATCCTCGGGTTGAGGTTGTTCTGCCAGGCTCTCACCAACTGTTCTTTGGAGACTTGGGTGCCAGTGTACGTGGGGAAGAGGGGGCTTTCCTTGTCCTTGAGGCAGCTGAGGGCCCTGATGGCTAGGTTCCACGGACACAAAACGTCGCAATGTCTTTCCCCGCAGCATTGCAGTGTTCTCCATGCTCCCTTAGCCTGCTGGTCCATCTTCGACTTCGGGATGAAGAGCCGCACCTCCTTCCTCTTCCAATTCAAGCACACGTGCTTGGCTTTCACAACTGCCGCCTACGCATAGGACCATGCCACTTTCATAGGTTCGGAGGGTTTCGTGCTTTCCACATCCCATAGCAAGTCGTCCAGTTCGTCCAGCCTCACCTCCAGAGCTCTTTTCTCTGGTCCTATGTCCCTCTTCAATGCCTTCTTGCACAGGACGAGCCTTCTCTCCAGCGCCTCGGTCCACTGGAAGCCGGCCTCCACATGCCACAACTTGAGCTCTGCCACGTACTGGTCCGCGGACTGCATGTTGGTTTGATCCAATAAGGCCGACACTTGTGTTAGTGCTTCCTCAGAAACCGGCGGGCCCTCCAGTCCGATCACGTTCAACAGCTGTCCGATCTTGCGTCGCTTCGACCTTTTACTCAGCCAAGTTGACGTCGCATGGAACTTTATCACGAACCGGTTCGCCGTCGCTTTGATCCAACTCTTCGATTGAGCTCTCGCCACCACGTCCTCTATGGTCATGGCCGATCGCGTGCTCGAGCATCTGGTCGACGATCCAACACGCCTCCCGGTCTCCTCATCCTCAAGAATCTCTCCCTCGTTCCGGCTGGACAGAGACCAAGTGTCCTCTTCCGTCACTGCGCTCATCCACTCTGGACGGCTTTGCGCGGTCGTTGAGCTCCTGGATCTCCTTGCCACTGCCGCCTCGGGTGTTGCCTCCTCTGACGTTGTCATTCCCCCTGATCGAATTGGGGACCCAGCTACTGCATCCGCGGACGCTGAGCGAGGCCTCGGTGGTGATGAAGTTGTGCCTGGACCTCCGCATAGTGCATGTAAAGGCCTGCGGGGTTGTCGATCCAACCCTGGCTGCCGATGCAGGGACTCCGACCTCACTCTCGGGCTTGAGCTCCGCCTCGAACGATGTCTCCTCTCTCTGTCTTCGCTGCTGTGCCATTGTCTCCTCCTGTTCTGATCTGACTCGTCGCCCTCTACCTCCTCCGGCTGGCTGCGCCGCGACCCGTGCCACCATGTTGACGATCTCCAGCCCGCTGCGAAGGCCAAGATGAGGGTTACCCCCCATACCAAAAGCGTGCAGCGGACGACGTGCCACAGCAGCGGGGTCCCCTCCAAGGGGACGTCGACCGACCGGATTGCTGGGGCCGTCATGGCGACTCCCACACGTTTCCGGGGGCGCTGAGGCAAGCCGGCCCATGGATTGTACAAAATCCTGAGCTCCTTTCGAGCACCTGGCCTTTGAGCTTCTTGAGCCGGATGCCTTGCAGTGTCTCCGGCATGTCCCCCCGTTCATGTGGCCGAGACAACCAATCCGCTTCCTTGTTGAAGGTCCGTGGGATGTGGTAGATCTCGATCTGCCGAACCAGCTCCGCAGCGATGTAGTTCAGCGACGGTGAGGGGCTGCTCAGCTTCTTGGCGATGCCGAGGGCCACTGAACTGTCCGACTTCAGTATCAGGCCTTTGCACTGGATGCGACGTTGCCACAGCTTCACCGCTCGCAAGATGGCGTACGCCTCGCACACTGCCAGGACAACTGTCCGTGATCCACTTTAAGCCACTGTGCCTCCTCCGGGGTGAACGGAGCCTCGTATGCTTCGATGATCTGGATGCGGCCCGTCTCGGCATCCTTCTTCCAAAGAATTGCTCCCAGTCCCATCGGCGAAGCGTCCGAGATGATACCCCACTCTGCCGGCTTTTCTTTCAGCCACATGATCCGGGCTTGGAGCTTGAAGCCGTTGGTGTCCAACATTGCAATCAGCCAGTTCAAGGCTGCTCCCAACCGCTTCACTGCCACGAGCCCCACCTTTGGCCTCTGATCACCGTCGCGACCTTTTGCTCGTTTAAGCTCCTGGCCCGTCTCAATGTCGTGCATGGCGTCCGTGATGACCGCATAGAACACTGACGTGGTCCAGCCGGGGGAGGATGCCTGCCATCCACGATGGAGGCGGCCCGTGATGGCGCGCAGCTCCTTGAGAGCGATCATACCTTTCCCCGTCCACTCCACCAAGGTGTCATACACCTCTTTGCACATCTTGAAGGGGAGGCCCACCGTGATGCGCCGTCCATTCTCCGGCTTGCGGGTCTCAAACACGAACTGTGTGCCAATCCAAGTCACCCTCGTGCCCCTTCCCTTCTCCAACGAGATCATGATGCCCAGGGCTCGCATTGTGTACAGGAACATCGAAAGGAGCTTGCATCGTTCTTCTGGGCGACCTCGCATTGCGATCAGCAGGTCGTCGATGTAGATCTGCATCACCAACTCGTTCGGCTGGACCATACTTTGAAGCAACCTGCCCAAAGCTGCGCTCAGCCGCCCCATCAACAACGGCGCTGCCTTGAAACCGAACAGCATGGCTACCCACACCAAAGCCTGTCCATCCCGGACGTCGGGGGAGATGCAGTTCGTCCCTCGTCACTGTGAAATGACAGAGGGCGTCGGTGAGGTCCAGAACTCTGTCGCGCGTTGAGGATCTTCACACACTGCAGGCTCCGCTTCGTCCATGTTGCGCATAGCCCTCTTGGCAACACTATACGCTCGGGTGCATCGGCGCGACTGTTGCCTCCGCTTCGCAACATGTCTATGACGATCCTTTTCTTGACCGATCCGTCCGCCTTTGGTTTCAAAATCAGGGCGAGCTTTGACACTGTACCAATGCTGTATGCATCCCTTGCTTCAGCCCATGGCATCCTCCTCACAAAGCCCTTCGCCTTGTACCTCGAGATCTCCTCTTCAGCCTCTCGCGGGTGCTCTTGTACCGAAGAGTAATTCACCATGTTCTGGCACTCCTCGAACTCTACCTGCGCTTCCACGCACTGGATCTCTTGGTTCCGGGCCGGCGGAAAGACTCCGCCAGATGGAGGAATTTTCGAAGACATCCCCAGCGGAACACCTTCCCGGATGAATTGCTGGAGGCAAAGGTCAGGGTCCTTCGAAGCAACCTGCCAAGCGTGCCATAGATCTAATGGCGACTTGTACTCTGTGTTCGCCCGCAGTAGAATGCCTTCCATCTGCGCTGGGCCTCCGAGTGTAGCCAAAAGCCTTTCCTTCCAGCGCTTGCACCTTCTGCAAAGTCCGGCTCCTCCGCATAGATCTTCTCCCACTCGGCTCTCAACTTTGCTCCCGTCTCCCGCACTAGCGTCAGCCGCTCTACTGCAAGATCAGGGTTTCTCATCCCGCCGACCGACATGTCGTTCTCTGTCTCCCGAAGCTCCTTCTTCGAAATCTTCGCTGCAGACCTTGGAAGCCCTTGCTCATTCCACATGGTCTCAAGGGACCTTTCCAAGTCACGCTTCTCCCTTTTCGTGTCGGCGATGGAGAGGCCGCGAAGTTTGCGTTCTTCGTTGATCTCGATGAGCCATTTTTGCTGCAGGCTTGAAACCTCTGCCGCCTTCATCCTGAGCTGATAGCGCCAAAACTCCAAGGCGAGCGATTTCTTGAATACATCAACGACCAACTTCGCAATGGCGTCGCAGAGCAGTTTGGGGTAAGCAGCAGCCCGCTCGGTCTTGGTGGCGAACCCAGTTCGGACACCGGCACGTCCTCGATAAAGTGGGCAATCCCTCGAGCCTCCCAGCCCACTTGGCTGAAATAGATTGATACCCATCAGACATCATCAGACTATATGTCAGAAAAAAAAGTATCAGAAAACATAACCAGATAGAATGCCAGAATATATATGCCAGTCCAGGTCAGCCCGACTTCAGGCGGTCTACTTGGCAACTTGAAGGCAGTCGTGTTGAAAAGACTCGTCCTTTTCATGGGTCGAACAGAATCCCTTCTTACAGGACCAAACTCTAGGCACATCACCAAGTCCTGATTGTAATACATCTTTGCTAAAGCAAGGAGAGCTTAGGTAGCCTGAGGCTACCTTTCGTGAAGAGAAGGAGGATGGGGGTGATGTCATGATCAAAAAACTATGACTATGACCCACTCACTTAGAGTCTTAAAATAACCCTCCTGGCACCCACCCCAATCCCACCTTCTCCGAAGGTACGACTGGAGGCCTAGGGTGTTTGGGGGCCTAGGGTGTGGTTGGAGGGTCCGAGTTCTTCTCGCCGCCACGATTGGCCAAGCAGCTGCTCTGTAAACAAATGCCACAAAGGGCCTGTGCCAGAGGTTCGTAGGGAACTCGCTCCAGCTCGCTCCAGGTGGTCTTGTTGGTTTCTACTCCGCCAAATGCTAGGGGGGTTTGTCAGTGTGGCTAATAGGTCAAGAAATGGGTCGAACACGAAGCCACCAACACCGTTCACATTTCATCGGCGACAAGTTGTGCCTCAATGACACAATGACAGACCATTGCAAGGAGAAAGAACGTCCGAATGCATAACAGTCATTGGCTAGCGGAAGAGAGAAAAAAACAACGTTCCGCCATTAAGGCCAAACCTAGTGCGTTGTAAAATGCTGGAACATATAGAGCACCATTATAAAGCCACATGCTTGTTCGGGGTTCAGACTATTGCGCATCACTGGTGGGCCAAGAAACCTATTGGGAATAGAAGAAAGGAAAAAACATGCCGCCAACCGTCTGGGGCCTTTAGACTCCACCGTGGCAGGCCCCACGGACACGCGGAAGGCCATGGCTCTGGCTTGCGCCAACCTTGGTGAGATCGCTTTCGTGGTGGGTCTAAGGCAGCTCCCAGCATTTCAAACATCAACAACCCGACGGATGGATTTCGGCGCGTGCGTTTTGACACTTTTGTCTTTGATGGCCATTACCAAAAAGTAGTGTTCTTTGCTTAGCCCCTTTCTATTGACGGCGAGCTTGTCATAGGCACCCATGAAGCCAGTATGATGCTTCATGGTTTTTGTTGAGGCGCGTAAAAATCGGAGGGCTATCATTGATCTTCTGGCATCCTGCACCCACTTCCCACAGCTGCGTCATCCACCCCCTTGCCCCACCGCTGGCTCCCGCCGCACAACCCATATGTCCAACTTCGTCGGTCGAGCAGCGAGGAGGTCTCGCACTTCACGAAGAGGCGCCCCTTGCCTCCGGCCTTGACGAAGCCGCGGCCACCTGGCGGCCGCGGGGAGCTGGCGGATCGCGGGGAGCTTGCGGATCGAGGAGTTGCGAGTACCAGATCGAGGGGTTGGTGCTATTTTTAGATGTGGGTGAGAGGCGTTGACACGGCCAACACCCCCAATTACAATGAAATCCAGGATCGAGGAGTGGTTCAAGTGAAGTTTCCTGAAGAAGTTGACCTTTTATGGGCTGCTTGCGTTGAACGATGTCTTTGATAGTCCGTTTTATGGTTGGCATCTTCACTGATGGCATCGAAGGACCAAGGGGCTTAGAAAGCAGCCAGGGGCTCTAGTCTAGTCCTGTGGATCCCGACAAATAGGCTCAGAATAGCAGCCATGTGCCTTTTGCTTTCGGTGTCTGATGGTGTCTGGGAAGACCACCCCTAATCGGACGGCACTAAAAAAATACAGATCACAACACGTTGAAGGACCCACTTCACCACTTCATTCAGCCCCAAGGTAGCTATATACCTTAAGGACCCGCTTGAAGAGGACAGACCGTAGCTCCACAAAAAAATAATTCCCCGAACGACGCCCGCCTTTGCCTTTGGTCTCCTTGGCTAAGATCCTCGGAAATTCGTGCACAGGTGATACCCTGCAATGTGTCCGGCTAAACAAAAGATCTCTCCAGGTCTACCTTGGAACTAACATGGAAGGGGGGGAAGCCCCCTGTTGGTAAAGGTATACCATGGTTTTCCTTTCCGGGCCATGCCATGATGCAATGCCATATGTTAGTTCCAGGGAGTGTAGACAGTGTAGACCTACCTTGGAACATGCTGGGGACTTCACACCCCCTTGAGGGCTTCTCCAAGCATCTCGGTCACAATCTTTAGGGACTCGGACGGTTTGTCATCACACAAGAAATCAAAGCTGGCTACGATGGCGCAATGGTTTGTAAGTGATGGTCGGTCGTGAGTCATCAATTTGATTCTGATTGGATCAAATTATCTTTTAACAAAATTTACATGATCCTCGTTCGTTTGATGGCGTCATCAGAGACATTTTGTGAATGTAGGTCTTTTCCAGCTCATTCACCCAAACTGAGTTCATGTGTTTTCCTCACCAAAACGGAATTGCTTCTCCAAGTCGCATGATCCGGAAAGGCTTCAAGCCCAGGCCTCACAGGAGCAAGGCTCAGAGGCGTGCCCGGTATCTCACCAGTAACGCGCCAGGTAGGCGTCTTCTTCTGTGACGGTGTGCGAACACATGTCACGAACACATATGAGATCATATGAGGACTTGTGAAAAATCATCCCAAGTAAAGGCGTGGAACAGAAACAAACATCTGAAACCACCACCTAGTCTTCGGAGCATGGCAGCTACAGCAGTACCTGACCCAGTACCTGATCCTTAGCACCTACAGCAGTTTTCAGTACCCTACAAGTCCAGTCCAGTCTGACCCAGCAAAACCTGGTCCTTGACTTCAGTATGTGAACAATGCTTCTGCATGACCAGATCCTCTACAACAATCCAAGTCATCAACAGCAGTCTGACTTGCTATCGAACAATCCCTGCAATAAGCTCATATATGTGGCATCGTTGGAAGATCCCCACATGTCTTCTACCCTGTGATGTGGTGGGTGGGCCAGTCGGACCACTCTCTGAAGATGGTTTATCCACGATGGCAGCCCGCCCACTCCATGTGAGCATCGGATCAGGGTCCACTCCCACAGCTGTGAGGGGTCATCGTACCCAACTTTTGCTTTGAAATGCTACCAGGACCTTCCGTCCGGCTTTTGGACATTGTATCACCTCTTGACGAGGTTATATACACCTCGAACGGGTTTGGGCGGGGTATAGAATATTTTACTAGTATGTACCAATGGATCGGATATCACCTGATATGACCCAGGAATACCCAGGATACGTGCTCGATGCCCGAGGCGCGCGGATTCGTGCCCCCGAGCGGAGGGGGACCGTGCCTGGGAGTTGAAGCTCAAACTCAGGTGATAAGATCCTGAGCGGCAGATGCCCGGAGCCCACGAACGGACGAACACCGACGCGCAGCGCTCCGCTGCGGTGAGGCGAGAATCCGGGCGCAGTTAGGAAGGGTTGGTCAAATAGTACGACGCATGCGAAGACCGGGCATTGCCTGCCTGTTGTTCTTTCTGGTCTAGTCGAGTCGTTCACGGCCTAGCAAACGACAAGTTCCGAACCTTTTTTTCGTTCGCATGATGCGACGCATGAGCAGTGCTTTCCCTCACTCTCTTCACTCTTGACGTGAAGAAAGACTCAATAAACTCCAGATGGACTCCAGTCAACGAAACTCTTCAGACCAGGCATCACTTTTGGATACTTTTGGCACTTGAGAGGAATAAATCAATGCATCGCCATCGGTCAATAAGAAGTGTACACCGTGTGTTAATTTATTATGTATTAATTAACCAAAAACACAGTATAAATAACACATATAATAATATTCATATATATACATAAGAACACTCCTGGTCGAAGCCTGCCGGAATTGAACACACGGAGTTTTAACACACGGTCACACGGTTCCATTTTGTTCATCGCGCGTCCATTTAACATCGATCCATAGCTTTCGGGTTGGTGTTGAACTGCCAAAAGCGTTCTACCAAACAGGTGTTCTGTGAAACAACGAATTCCTGTTGTTTCCTGGTAGGTCTACAAGAAGGAGAGGTCTCCTGGCTCGTCCAAAGGTGGTCCCCCAACCCTGTTGGCAGGCACGCTTCGTCCCAAGGTGTGACGTTCTGTGACGTTCCTGGCGTCTCGATGCAACCCGAACTACCCGAATCCTCGGGCTCAGGGCTCTGGGAGTTTCTCACCAACCTCTGGAGCAGCTTGGGACGTTTGAGCTTTCGAACGCCGGCCGAAGGGACGGTGAGCACACCTGAAAATAAGCCGAACTCCTCCTGGCACGGCTGGTGCGGCCGGTGCGGCGGGTTCCTCGGTCCTCCTCGGCCCTCGAGGGCCTTCCGGTCCACCTTTCGCGCCCCGTGGCGTCCTTTCGCGGCCCAGGCGCTGCTTCTCCTGGGAGTCCAACTTCCGAGCATCGACCTTCCATCGCACCATCTCCTGGGCGGCGACCCATCTGACTCGACGCTTCACGCTCAAACGCCACGCAACGCGACCCTGGAGGCCTCAAATGGACGGGGGTCTGTGGTCTCAAATCCCTAGGTTTTGAGGGACCAAGGGCTGTTTGGAGCGCCAGAAGAACATGTAACCCGCCACAAAGCTGCAGTAGGGTGGGTGGGACAAGGGCGTTCCCAGCATGTCCGGTCTACAGTAGACTTTTTGTTGGTAATATATATATATATAGATAGATAGTATACAATAGAATGAAATAGATAGAACCTGTTTCAATCACATCAAAATAACATCTTCCTTAATTGTAAGTACGTATACAAAATAGTACTCGGTACTGTATACAAGTCCCTTCATCCGGTGGCCCAGGGCGGCTTCACTTGGATCTTCTAGGTGGCCAGTATCTTGACAAGTCCTCTTCCAAATGAAACTGCTCCACGGTGGTCACAACAAGAAAACAGAAAACACAGAACAACGTCCAACGTTCGAGCTCCGTTCGACCCAGTCCACAACATCAACACAGCAAGCTAAGCTCAACAAACACCGCAACAAAAAACAAACACAGCTTGCTGTATGGAGCATTCCTTCGAAGTTCTCCCTTGAGCCCCATTGCATTCCGTCCCGAAAACCAGCGCGGCGTCGACCGGTCCACCGGTGGGCAGGCGGTCCTTCCCATTGGGCAGGCGAAGGCATTCTAAAGGTGCCGCCGACTCGGCCTGTGCCGATCCCGTGAAGAGATGGGGATGGAGACCCCGAAGAGATGGGTCCAGTCTGACCCAATCAAACCTACCAGGACCCCCAGGAGTTGGGTGGTAGACATGGACACCCCGACTCACAGCTGTTTGGGGCTATAAATGGACACCCTTTGGAGGGTCCTGGTGGTCTTTGAGCTCCTTGCAAAGTCATCCTTTAGGTCCAACTGACTTGTAAGAGATGGTGCATGCGTCTGCCAGACGACGACCTCCTTTGGGAGACCGGCACCTCATGGTCATCCTCTTGTCTCAGGCCCTTCGGGGCCATTGCGGGTTGTTCACTGTCGTATATATGGTACTCTTGTCCCGAATCGGGGCCATTCTTGCTACATGGAGTCCATGGAGTGTCTGGGTTACTTCGATCGCTATGGAGTGTCTCTAAGTCCATGCAACTTCGGCTGGATGACCCACTGGGAGATGGACTGACTCGGTGGGAATCATCGTATCTCAGGACCGGGTCACTGGAAAGGTCCCTGTGAAGTCTGTACAACTATAGCTGAGGTTCGTTAGACGCTCCACAGAGATGGAATCAGCATGAATCAGCGTCCTTTGTTTCAAGCCTATGGATCCATATGGATCCACTGGATCTGTTCGACACTTATGATGTAGGCACCCGAACCTGAGGTACCGCAGTGGATCTTCAGGGGATGCTCATCTTGGATTCTGGACTTGAACAAATACAAAAACATATCCAGCAGGGGATTTAACCATAGTACTGTAGGGAACATGGAACATAACCTTAAGCAAGACCAGGTCATGGTCTGGACAAGACTCAGATCTTTCACACATACAGTGCTTTTAGAGGTTCGATGCGTAATCCCCAAGTTTGGTGGTTTGTATGGACCCCATATATATATATATATATTTGATGAACTTCAATCAACGTGAATTCAGCAGCTGCTACATTTTTCTCCGAACCGGCTCAAGGTCTGTACTGTCAGTACTTTAAGTGCTTTGGTTTGAAAAGCGACCCGCGTCGCGTGTGTCATCTGACATCTGACACTCTCCCCGTGGGAGCACTCCATCCGTTTAGTGTGACCGAGAGGATACCGCAGGGGCGGTCCTACGGCCACTACGGATGACAGCTCTGGACAGAGCTAAAATGTTAAAACTAAAAGGGAAAGAATAAGGGCATACAGACGGTACACACCGCGGGCAGCAACCCGTGTGACCGTGTGGCATGAACTGACGGTCAACCAATAAACATCCAGAAATAAGGACACCAAGGCAGCCAGCGCAGCGTCCGCCTGGGGCAGGCAGCCGGGCCATTAAAATGGGTCTGGTTGAGACGTCCAGCTCACAAAGCGGTGTCCCAACAAAGGGAGCGAACAAAATGCGTGAGGACCTCAAGCTGGCAGCCATGGTCAGCATCGGCCAGCCAACCTTCAGGTTGAAGAGACAGACTCTCTAGGCATTCTGCCGAGTCGCCCACCAGCTAGACCAGTGACATGGTGGAGAACTGAGTCATGACGAAAGCTGCGGCAAAAAGGGTGTGGCAGGGTGGGAAAAACTTTTATCTTGAGGTGTCTGCAGTGGCACTGCACCTCAAGGGAGTCTCCCAGTTTTGGCTTGAGCAGCCAAGCAACGTGGGAGACATTGACTTGAAGCTTCACAAATATTTCCTCATCACCGACCCTGCCTACCTTGAATGAATGAATATATTTGATGAACTTCAATCAACGTGAATTCAGCAGCTGCTACATTTTTCTCCGAACCGGCTCAAGGTCTGTACTGTCAGTACTTTAAGTGCTTTGGTTTGAAAAGCGACCCGCGTCGCGTGTGTCATCTGACATCTGACACTCTCCCCGTGGGAGCACTCCATCCAAGGCACTAAAGGCATCCAAAGCACTTAGACGTAGAGAAAGACCTTGGCACTGATGTGGTAGGGCAGCTGGAGGAGCATGAGCGAGGGGTAGGTGTGATATAGTACAAAACCATGACGTTGAAACCATAGGTCCTGTGCCAATTTTCCGGCTGATACCGTCCGACCAGTTGTTTTTGCTCTGCACCCACTCGAAATAGCAGGAGCTCCGTAGGGCAAACAGTGGACCATGTATTCGCCCGCAAGAGATCCAGGGGTCCTGCTTACCATAGCATCCCGCTGTTCTTTGCGAGTACGACCCCGGGTAAGGGCCATGAGGGCCGCCACCTTGTCGATGAACCAAATGCCCAAGCGCCCATTCGCAGCCATACTACCGTTGCTCCTTAGTGGGAAAGTGTCTACAGGCCCAGAACCAGACAGGTTCGCACAGGTGGCAAGGTGCCACGTCATGGAGTTTGCTTCGCTCCAGGTGACCTTAGACTGTATCCGATATACTGTATTCACGTAATGCAGACGAGAGACCGACCGCGAATGGCACCAGCCAATCATTGTTTTCAAATCGGGGTGAGGGCTGCGATCTCTGACCCTTAACACAAGCAAAGTCGCGACGTTTTCCCTGAAACACATGGCGATCCCAGACAGGCCTGACTGGCCCACTATACCCAGCCATCCGATGGTCAGGAAGCCCAAGTCTCCAAAGAGTTTCGCAATCATACCTGGTGCCTTAGTGATGAGGTGTCCACAGGCCCAGAACCAGACAGGGTCGCACAGATGGCCAGGTGCCGCAAAAATTCCATTGCTCCAGTCGACCTTAGTTAGACTGTATCCACTTAATGCAGACAAGAGACCGTGAATGGCACCAGCCATTCTGTCCAACTTGGGGTGATGGCTGCGACCTCGGGGCAAGGTCAGCAGGGTCGCGACGTTGTGAAGGAACCGCGATTGAGAGCACATGAGCAAATCTGGCCCGGACGGTCGTGGATCCCGGACAGGCCCTACCGGCCCAGTGTGCCAAACCATCCTATGAGCAGGAAGCACCAGCAGCCCAAGAATTGCGCAGCCATACTGGCCTGAATCTCAGGCTGACCAGTATTGTACAGCGAGGCCATCGCAGTACGCAGAGAAGGCCTCTCAGCCCCGAACGCCGGGGCCGAGCCCTCTGTTGCTGCGTACGCAGCAGGAAGAATTCACTGCCACGGGAGCACATGCCGCAACGGTCACTGCATGCCGACGCATGGTATGCCACTGCGAGAGAAAGCGCTGAGTCGGCCCACTGATTGGAACCACTGAAATTCGTGAACTCGAAGAAAACAGTGAAAATGAGAACTTGGAAAAATGAGAATTAGCAGAATGTGGGGGCCATGCAGAGAAGACTTTTCGTCCCCGAACTCCGGGATAGGGCCCTCTCTGCCCTTGACTCAGCCTGAACATTCGTCGCCACTCGTGAGCACATGCTGCACTGGTTGCCACACGCTGACGCATGGTATGCCGCTGTGAGACTGTGAGAGAAAAAGAATTGTTCCAATCGGCCAAACGGTTCAGGAGCCCGTAATTTCGTAGCACCACGCATATAGTCGCCACCTGGGGTAACCTCGCTGAATGCCCCGCAAACAGTAGGGCGAGACACATCCAAGTCCTGGGCAATCTTGAGGTTGACCATTGCCACCATTTTTCATTGCAAGCACCATAGTAAGACTTGCCTTTCTGGAAGTCGGGGCATAGCTGTGCACCGTCTCGGATGATGTGGACCATGGCGCCCATTGGCCCATCACTGCAAAGCACGACACGCTCCCGCATGACTGCCTGGAGGAGTTTGCCCAACGATCCTGAGCCAATGGGCCGGGCGGCCCATACTTGCACTCGTCGCTGGCGGGGTTGTAGGCAGCGGGCTTGCGGGAGGCGAAGTCCTGGCTACAAGGAAATGATAGGGGTTCTGCAAACTGTCTAGGCTGTTGGAAGACACGTCTCTGTCCAATAGGCTGAAGTGACCATTGTAAAAGACTTTAAAAACAAAACTACTAACGACTAACATGGGCAAATGGACCGAAAAGTGTTTTCAGAACGCGGGCAGGTCGGACTCCTCAGGTTTTGACATCCGGCCTAGCCGATCCGCCACCTCACACAGCTCCTGGCCCATGGAACGAAGTGCTAACGGTTAGAGTGCCGCCACTGCTTCGAAGACCTCATGGTTGGCCTTGTGCAAACAGTAGGCGCGGGCGCGCCTTGCCTTGCCGATCAACAGCGCCATGGCCATTACCACAAAATCGATAGCCCGAGTGCTGCCCATTGTCTGTAAGAACATTCGCTGTCGTTCATGGGCACATGCTGCACGGCCACCGCACGCCGACACATGATTGTGAATGTGAGAGAGCCCGATGTGGGTCGGCGCACTGATTGAAAGAAGAGACAGCGCCGGGGTATGGCCCCTTTGCCGCGGACGCAGCATGAACAGTCACTGCCACCCGTGAGCGCAGGCTGCAACGGTCACCGCACGCCGACGCATGCGAGACCATTGAAAACTGGAAAAATGGGAGAACTGGCGGACTGGGGGGGCCACGCAGAGGAGACATCTCAGCCCCGCACTCCGGGGCATGGCCCCCTTCGCCGCGGACACAGCATGAACATTCACTGGAGCTCGTGAGCGCTGACGGCAGCGGTCAACGCACGCCGACGCATGACATGCTGCTGTGAGAGAAACAGACAGCAATGGGTTGCAGCGGACTCATTGAGACAACTGACATAATTCAAAGCGGAAAAGGGTAAGGCTTGAAAGCTTGAACCGTGGAAAAATGGCAGATTGGGGAAGGTCCTGCAGAGAAGACATCTCAGCTCGCGGACGCAGCATGAACAGCCACTGCCATCCGAAAGCACCTGCTGCGCGACAGTCGCTGCACGCCGACTCATGATATAACACTTGATGTTATTGAAATCGGAAAACTCAGAATTGAAAACTCTCGGAAATAGAGATCTGGCAGGTTGGGGTGCCATACAGAGAAGACATCTCAGCCCACAACTGCGGGTATGGCCCCCGTGGCCGCTGAGGCAGCATGAACATGGGCTGCCACTCGTCGTGCACACCTGCTGCAATGGTCACCGCACGCCGACGCGCGATAGGCCGCTGTGAGAGAAACAGAGAGCAATG